AATTTCCCTTTCCTTGTTGCTTTTGCAACTAAGAAACTACATCTGTGTTTCTCAGTTGGTGAACCCTGGACCTCCTTGGAGGTGAGGATGGGGACCATTATTGCACTGTATTGACCCTCTTCGGTAATTCTTCACTGTCTACACCGTTGGTGTATGGCTGACCTGCAGGAAGAGCTTGACTACACAGGGGACAGCATGAAGGACTACTGACTTTTGACCTAGAAGAGCGCATGAGATGCTAAATCTGTTAAAAATTTAGTAGTTGCCTTATAAATGCTCTGTATGATCATTATTTTTACCTTCGTGTGTACTAAAGACTAAATTTCCAGACTAAACAACTACTCTATTTAACAATTGTGACATATGGGGGTGCCTGGGGGTTCAGATGGTTGAGCATCAGACTCTTGGTTTCCACTCAGGTCATGATCTCAGTGTTGGGGGATTGAGCCCCATGTTGGGGGGGTTCCGCACTCAGCAGGTGTCTGCTTAAGATTCTCTGTTCTTCTGCCCCCCTCAAGCTTGCTCTCTCTCTAATAAATCTTAAAAAAAAACCTGTGACATATATCATTCATACAGAAAACGTTCATACACAAAACATTCTTGCACAGTTTATTTATAGAATAATTGCTTAACACCAAAGTCCAGAAATAAAATTTTATCGACAACTCAGAAGGTCCCTATTCACCTCTCCCTGATCACATCCCATTTTTCTTTTGTTAATACTATGGAGGAATGTATCCTAACCAGGACAGCTGAGTTTTGCCATGTATCTATTCTTTGGTTGTTCTATTTCTCTTATTTAATACAGGATACATCATGTTATTATGGATAGCTATAAATACTCCTTTCATTGCTGCATCCTATTTCCTAATGTGACCATGCCATAGTTTATTCATTCTATTGTTGGTGTAAGTTTAGGTGGTATGTTGTTTTTAGCTATAACAAAGATGCACATGCATAAGTGATTCTGTAGAGTAGAATTCCTGAGTCATCCTGAATGTGTTGTATGGTTAACTTTACTAGATAATGCCACAAAGTGATAATCCAAAGTGATTGTATCAACTTACACTGCCCTGTGTGTATGAGGAAACTTCTTGCTTCATCCTTCTCAAACTTGTTACTGTCAGATTTTTTATAATTATTCTTGGGTCTGGTTGGTGTTTAATGGTATTGCATTGTGATCTGATGGCTCATGTTCGTGGTTCCTAACAAGGATGTAGGTATTTTCTTACACTGCTCATTTGTATCTCCTCTTTGGTGTTGTGCCTATTTAAGCCTTTTGCTTATTTTAAAAACTACATTGTCCCGTTCTTATTGATTCCTAAGTGTTCTTTATATACTCTGGGTACCAATTCTTTGTTTTACAAACTTCTCCCACATTGTGGTTTTGTCTTTTCTCCTCACCTTATGGTATTGTTTGGTAAACAAAAGTATTTTGTTTTGGTAAACAATAATTTTATTTGGTAAAACAAATTTTAATGTAGTTGAATTCATTGATCATTTCCTTTATGGCTAAAAAAAAAAAAATTGTTCTTGACCCCAAAGTCATAAAAACATTCTTCTGTAGGTCCACGCATTTTATCTGAAATTTTTGCAGCAGATGTGTTTTGGAATACAGACTTTTTCAGACATTGGGAAGGCCCAATGGAACACATACAACATATTTTTATAACTCTCAACAAGAACTGGAAGAGCACCTCTACTCAAAAACCAATATTCATACATTATTATTTCTGCAGCAAAACATACGTAGTCACCTAATATATAAATAATGACTATAAAGAACTTCATGACACTAAATCACATTTTCCACCTAATGAGTTCCAAAGAGTTTGGTGTTTCATAAGTGTGGGGTTTTTGTAATTAGTACAGAAGTTATGGAGGCCTCATACATAAGGACAGAATTATTTCAAAGGTTAGAGAAACTTACTGGTGGAGCCGTGGACCTGGAATTTGTGTGGGAAGATTCTTTACTACTGATTTAAAATATGGTTTGGAAGATTCCTATTTTCTATTCTTGAGTCTGCCAGTTGTGTTTTCCTTGAAATTTGTGCATTTACCTAAATTTTATTTGCATTGAATTGTTTGTAAGATGTCGTAACTTTTTTGATGTCTATAGTTTTGATTACTAATATAGGTTAACAACTCTCCTTGTATTGTTCAATACTAACAGATATTTGTCAATTGTATTCATCTTTTCTAAAAAAAAAAAATCAACTTTGGGATTTTTAATCCATTGTATGCAGTGGTCCTCTAGTAAATTGGCTGCAAAGATAACAAAACAAAACACCGGCCTGTTTTTTTTTTATTTCCATGGAGTGAATACTATCATTATGGACAACTTCAAGCCACTAATTTGAGGTTAGTGGCCATGGAGTAGGGGAGAGGTATGCATAATTGGTTCTCCTGTATCAGTACAGTCTCTGGCACATTACTTTTGATTCCCATTTCATTCATTCCTGCTCTTAATATTATTTCTGTCATTTTACTTCCTTTAATCTTGTTCTCCTTTTTCTGACTCTTGAAAATGAATGTTTAAGCTAAAGACTTTTTAGCCTCTTTCTTATATATTTTGTGCTATAAATTTTCCTCTAAGCCCTGTTTTAGCTGCATCACACAGGCATTGCTATTGTATTTTATTGTTCAGCTCAACATATATTCTATCATTATGACTCCTCTGACAAGGGTTTATATGGATTTGTTATAATTCTTTATTGAATATTCTAGCTTAAATGCATAATGGTCAAAAAACATGTGCTGAATGATTTCAATCTTTAAAATTTGTTGTGGGTTGCTTTACAGCTAAGTCTGTGGTTGATTGGGGGATGATGCCATCTTTGCGTTCCAAAAAAATGTACATTCTAATTTTGGTAATGTTCTGTGTATGAGGTCAAGTTTATTAATCATGTTATTCAGATCTTCTATATCCTTATTGATTTTTCTTTTGTTTGTCTTAAAAATCACTAAGAGCAGCACCTGGGTGGCTCAGTGGGTTGAGCCTCTGCCTTCGGCTCAGGTCATGATCCCAGGGTCCTGGGATCAAGCCCCACGTCAGGCTCTCTGCTTGGCAGGGATCCTGCTTCCTTCTCTCTCTCTGCCTGCCTCTCTGCCTACTTGTGATCTCTGTCAAATACATAAATAAAATCTCATTTAAAAAAATCACTAAGAAAGGCTTATTAAAGTAACCTAATAGGACTATAGTTTTTTGTCATTCCGTCAAGTTTCACATATTTATCATTAGGTATGTATAAACTTAAAATTTTAAATGTATTTACTTTTTCAACTCTGAAGTCACCCAAGACTCTTTCCATCCTTTTACTATCTCATCAGTCATACTCAGGAGATATTATCTTTACATAAACTGCCCTTGGTAGACACAGTGTAAAAGAAAGGATGAAGCATTCCACTGCCTTACAGAGTCCGCTGACCTGCAGAAGGACTCTCCATACTGTAGAACATATGTTTGGGGGAACTTGGCTTCACGCAGCTACTCTGGAAACCTGCATGTACTTAATTTGGACAGGAGCAAACACCAGCACTGACTGCAGAGCTGTAGGTCGCTACAGGTGTTAGAAGCTCTCACTATGGAGTATTATGCCTCCATCAGAAAGGATGAATACCCAACTTTTGTAGCAACGTGGACAGGACTGGAAGATATTATGCTGAGTGAAATAAGTCAAGCAGAGAGAGTCAATTATCCTATGGCTTCATTTATTTGTGGAGCATAACAAATAGCATGGAGGACAAGGGGAGATGGAGAGGAGAAGGGAGTTGAGGGAAATTGGAAGGGGAAAGTGAACCATGAGAGACTATGGACTCTGAAAAACAATCTAAGGATTTTGAAGGGGTGGGGGGTGGGAGGTTGGGGGAGCCAGGTGGTGGGTATTAAGGAGGGCACGGATTGCATGGAGCTCTGGGTGTGGTGCAAAAACAATGAATACTGCTACGCTGGAAAAAAAAAAAAAAAAAAAAAAAAAAAAAGAAGCAGCAGCAGCTCTTCAGCGTGACCGGAGGGCGCATGCGGACTTTGTTAAGAGACCAGACCCCGGACGACTGATCTTTACCCATAAACGCGATTTTACAGATTCCGCTCGGACACACGAACTTTGTGTATCAGAAATACCGTCCTTTCAAACCTACCCGAAGCAGCTCTTCTCATTCCTTTATCACAATACCTTGGTGTTTGGGAAGTCAAGAAAGCCACGAGTAAGACTAAACAGAAAAGCAAGTATTTTCCTCCGTTCTCCTCGTCTGAACTACCCTCCGCAGATCTCAGAGCCAAGGGCACAGCGTCTGTCCGGGAACTCACCAGGCTGGCGTCTCCACGGCCGCATCTCGGCCGAGCGGGTTCTGCTCCGCGCTCTCACAGCGTCTCCGAGCACCGACCCAGGGGCGTCCACGAAGCCGCCAGGGCTAGCGGTCCCGACGCTGAGCGACGTGCGGGGACGAACCCTCAGCCGGACCGGGAGCTCAGGGCCTCGGTTCACAGCCCGCTTCGCTTACTTTCCAGATCTCCCGGGTCCCCCAGCGCTTGCCCGCTCCGCCGGCCACCCAGTCCCGCCCGCACTCCCCTCCCCTCCCCCACCCCGCCCCCACCCCGCCCCCACCTCCTCCCCTCCCGCACCTTCGACTATCTCCACCCGGAGGCCTGCAGCCAAGCTGTCACCGTTAGCGGGTTTGTCTAGCGCTCATCCCTTGGCTGCAAATTTCCACCCCAAACCGGCTGGTCCGGCCGGGCTCGAAACTCAAGCCCTCCAGGCGGCGCGGGTGAGATGTGCACGGAAACTGAGAGTCACGAGAGGAGCGGGTCCCTCGCCGCGGCTGAAAGCCTCAGGGAAACAGGTACGGGGACGCCCTAGAGGTTGAGGCCGCTCCGAGCTCCGACACAGCCCCGCCCACTCCCCCACCGTCACACCCCAGGCCCCGCCTCCTCTCCCCTCCCCCGCAGGTCCGGAAGGAAGTCGCTGCAACAGGTGAGAGAGCGGAGCCGGAAGTCCCGCCCTCCTAGAACGGTGAACGGGATCCCGTAAGGGTCATTCCAAGTAGGAGGGCGGATTTTCCGCGGGACGTGCTTCCTTGGGGTGGTGAGTTCTCCGCAGGACTCGGCACCGGACCCCCTTTCCCCGCAGTTTGTTGAGTTTCATGACCCTTTCCTCCCGTCAGCGCCGAAGGGAACCCGGTCGCAGGCGGGCCAGAGGCCAGCTTGCGGGTGGGTCCCGGCGGGCGCGCGTGTTGGAGGCTGGACCTGGCGGTTCCGACTCTGCGCGTCTCGGGCTCCCCTTCGGCACGGCTGGTAGCTCCGCTGGCGCTGCCGGGTCCCGTCGACGCGTGCGCTTCCTTGTGGAGCGTCTGGTGTGCAGGCCGCCTTCTACATGGGCGCGGCTGCCCCCGTCTTACAGGTGGGGACACGCGCTCGAGAGGCCCCAGGGACGGGACTGAGAGCGCCGCCCCCGGCGGGTCCCGTGTCATCGCGTGGGGGATGAGCTCTGCCAGCGTCCGTTTAGAGCTGGGTGATTTCGGTGGCGCCGTCAAAATCCCAAAGCGGAATTGTAGAAAGGGGCTGGACGGGGAGGACGGACAGTGTCAGTGCCCCGCCGTCTCCGAAACAAGGTCCTGGTTCACACCCGGTGTTACTTTGGTCAACAGCGTGGGCCCACGAGGGATGGCAGCCCCGTCCATGAAGGAAAGACAGGCGTGCTGGGGAGCCCGGGACGAGTACTGGAAGTGTTTGGACGAGAAGGCAGAGGACGCGTCCCAGTGCGAGCAGCTGAGAAGCGCGTTCGAATCTAGGTGTCCCCAGCAGTGGGTAAGGCACACTCGACGGTTGTCGGTCACTGGGAGATGGCGCCGAGCTGAGAGGGTGTGCGGTGGGCTGAGGGGTGAAGCAGGCGGAGGCTCGTCGGATCCAGTTTGTAGAGCAGCAGAGAAGACCCTGCCTGGTCATCCAGACTTGGTTTATGTTCTTAGGTCAGGCAGGCGTTTGGGAAGCGTCACCTGACCCTTTAAAGGTCACTGAAAACAAACCTGTGAATGAGGCCCAGAAATTCCAACCCACTGAGTTGGTAGATCCCTCCAGGATCCTAAGAACACTCCTCAGTGTGGGGCAGGGGTTGGCAAATTCACTGGCCTGGAGCCTCTCTCAGAAATGAAGCATTCTCTATTGTGCTCCCCAAATCATGGGCTCATGTACCCAAACTATTATGAGCGGTTTAGGAAGTAGGAGGACGTTCCCATGATAGGTGCTGCCCCAGATGCCTCCCTGACCGCTGTCCTGCTGTGTGCTGCCTGTCCCTGATGTGGGAGTGGGCTGGAAAAGGGAACTAACAGTGAGGTCAGTAACTTGTCCGGGTTCCATGCTCGACACTCCTGCATCTGTGTCCTTTCAGAGGGTGGTTTGCTCTCATTTTCTGGAAGAGTCCGGGCATTGAAGTAACTTGCTCAGTATTGGTCAGCAAGTGGCAGGACGGTAATTCTAAGTCAGGCCTGGCTGGCTGGTGTAAGATTGGAACCTGAATTTGTCTGTGCGTTTCCACTCTGTCGTGCTGCTGGGCAAAGTACACCAAATAGCTGTGAGAACGGCTCATCTTAGGATGTGGCTTAGGGTCTCCCTGTCACACCTCACAGTTTTAGATGAGGAGCCGGAGGTGTGCAGAAGACCGCCAGGAGGGTGGGGGTCATGCTGGAGGGCTGGGCTGGGCTGGGCTGGGCGCGAATGCAGTCAGGAGACCGTGCTCTAGGTGAACGTTTCATCTGTAAAACCAGCATAATGAGGCCTACGTCATGGGATTCCTCTGAAGACTCCATGTCTAACTTGACATATAAATAGAAACGTGATTAATGTGGGGTTTTGTGATCAGATTGTTTAATGATTTAGGCGAAAACTGTTAGACATCCTGGTTTTCCCATTAGGGTTGATGCACTAAGAACAACTCCTGGTTTAAGAAGTAGGCGGAGAATGTGGAGCTTGGTCTGTCTCACACCTGAGTCCATGAGGGTTCTGGTTCCTTTACTATCTGTGCTGTCCCCTTCTTGCTGGGCTCTCTGGCCCTGCAGTCACTGAGAGCAGGGTGCAGCTGAGAACAGAGCAGGAGCTCTGGTGGTTGGGGTATTGGTGGGTTCTGTTCTCATCCCACCCCTGGATTTTCTCAGAATTTTGTCCCTGTGAGACCTTTTGACAGCCTTGTCATGATTTTCCACTCAGGTGACCTGTCATAATCACGTGGAGAGGTTTTTGAAGAGCTCTGTCCCAGACCTCCCCTCAGATTCACTGAAGGTCTGGAAATAGAACCCGAGCCTTTGACACAGCTCTGGCTCTACAGGTGATTCCGATAACCATGGTTGGGAATCCGTCTTAGGCCCTTTGGAAAGTCACGCTTCTGTCCTGCTTTATCCTCTTTCCCTCTCCTCGCAGACCCACTACTTTCTCTCCAGTCCGGTGTCTAGCAGACCCTCCCACTCCCCTTCTTTCACACAGCTTCTGTTCTCTGCATCATAAAGGGTTTTTCTCTGTCCCTTCCACTCCCACCGGGACCCTGGCTGAATGCCAGTCTCTCCAGGTTACTGTGTCCTGCTCACAGCTCATATACTGAGTATATGCTTGGAGCTCTTCAGATGTGCCCTCCACCTCCACTGTTCTCACGAGAGTGTCACCTAGTTTTGCAGACAAAGACATGGGTGCATTGAAGTGAAATCACCTGTAAGGACAGAGCCAGGACTGGAGCTCGGGAGTGAGAGTCTGGACCCCATGCTTTTCCCTTCTCCACATCCTCCTTCCTCCTTCCATGAAAATAGCCTACACAAGTCTCATGGTGTTCTAGAAACTTAGTCATAACTGTAGTCTATTTCAACACAAAAGCCCTATCTCCTTGGGTGCCTGTATGACCCTCCCCCCCAGGCTGTCCTGCTTGTCTAGCAGCCATGCCTGTTGGAGAGGTTTCCTGTGCAGCCGAGAATGCCAGTATTCTTCTAGGCTGTTCGCTCTCCCAAGGCAGTTTGGTCTCAGGTGTTGATGCCTCGTCCACAGCTCTGGCTTGGCCATTTCTCCAGCTCCAGAGGCACCTGATGAGCTGTTGCAATAGGTTTAGATGGTCCCAGGACCAACCTTGACCTCTGCATGTACAAGACTGAACTCCTCCCCATCCCCTACCCAGCAGGCCTCACCTCCCATGCTCCTAACCCCAGTGAAAGGCACCAGCATGAACACAGCCCCAGAGCTTCAGCCTTCACTGTGGGACTCACTGGAGGAGCATCCTCAGGAGGGAAGTGGGACGGCACAGCAGCCCTGTGGTGAGGGCAGGTCCCGTGTGTTTAAGGAGGAGCAAGGAGAGAGCAGCGGATGTTCGGATCAGAGAGATGATGGGAGGCTGGGGCGGTGGGCTTTACTGGGGCTATGGGAAGCCACTGGAGAGCTTGGAGTTCGGCAGGAAGGAGAGCTGTGAAGGTATGAGAGGGAGTCTGAAAGCGTGGTGGGCTCAGTGGGTTTCAGCATCAGGGTCTTATAGAGAGAAAGGGAAGAGGCTGGGGGGTGGCGGTGTTTGGAGAATGGGCTCTCAGAATTGGGATTATGGAAAGGGCGTGCTGCTTTGATCCTGGGAGTAAGACCGGTTGGAGGACAAGCTCACTGAAGAGGTCAGGGAGCCACCCAAGCATCAGGACAGGAGTCCTGGTGGAGAAGCGCACAGGCTGCAGAGCTCCAGCCGACCCCAGCAAAGTGGGGGGGTGCGGTGGCAGAATATTCTAGTTGGCTTGTGCAGCATTTGACAGTGTTAAGTGTTCACAATACGGTGTCCTTCTGCAGTGCCGTCCTCCTTCAACCTGCCCCCTCCTCGGGGATTGCCTTTGAAGTCTTACCGTAGCCATCAATTAGGAACGGAAAGATTTTCCCAGAGCCACGTGAGAAGGTGGGGAGCTACATGGGGGAAGGGGGTCAGAAGAGGAGGTATCGTCTGGGTCCATTTGTATCAGGCATCTTTATTAGCTTTAATTTTCAGTCTTGGGAGTACTTGTGTGTCTGTTTTACACAGGAGGACCTAAGGCTCAGGTGAGATAATTTGTTCAAGATCAGCTGAGCAGTAAAGCAATAAATTCAGATTTGTTATATAATAAGTATGCCACACAACTAAAATGCCAGGTGTCACCGGAATGAATTACTTTTCTTGGTGCTTTGCTGCTTTTATGGTGCTCAGCGGCCTAACCCGTGTGACAGGCCGACTGCGAAAGTCTGCTGGCTCATGGCTGAGGTGGGCGCGGTGCTGAGAGCCATCCTTCATCCCAGCGTCATCCAAGAGACTGATCCCAGTATCAGTTTCAGAAGCTGGGTTTCATATAAACCGTGGCAGTGTTTCAGATCCCGGCGTTCGCACTCCTGCCCCTGCGTCTCTTGTAAGGGTGTGGAAGGTGCTAGCACCCTAGTACAGTCTCCCTCAGTGAGTGCCCGTGGGCTCCTGAGCGGACAGGGAGAGCATGTGCCTCGTGCTGAGGATCCCTGACTGCTCCCCCAGGAGGGAAGGCTGGGCTGAAGTGCGGTTCAGGCGGAGGCCGGGAAGCACAGCGCTCGAGAACTAAGCATGTCCAGGACCCAGAGCCGCTCTCAACGGCCAGTATTTCAGGGACCAGTGGCAGATTCAGAGAGGACAAATGGGCAGAGATTAAGCCAAGAATGGCCTTGTCTCGCTGAGGAGTTTGGATGTTGACCTTACAGTCTGTAGGGATGCCTGGAAAGATCTTCCAGCCAGGGACATAACTGGATTTGGATTTTGAAAAGATAGTACTTGGCCGTGGCATGACTGATAGATTGAGGGGAGAGAAGCCAGTTCCAGTCCTGGTGCAGTAATCCAGGTGAGAATGGAGGGCTGTGGTGTCGTGGTTAAGAGGGAGTGGGACCGAAGTGTTTAGGTGGACAGTGGTGCAGTCACTGAAGGAAGTATTAGACGAGAAAACAGTCGCAGAGGAGCTTGGTTTGGGTATGCTAGTAGGACATCTACACCGCATTGTCAGGCAGGCAGGTGGAGATGTGACAGGATCGGTCACAAAGATCTGGTAACACTGGGTATCTTTTATGCAGAGCACCCCCCTCCCCGGGGTAAATCTGTAGTCTGGTAACCATGGAGACCGCACCCCAGAGGAGCTGTGGGTATCGCACCAGGTACAGGAAGGGAGTCATCCGAGGATTCAGGGCAGGGGGCAGGATGGAAGTTAGGTAAAATGAAATATCTCTGTGCTTCAATGAGCTCAGAGCAGGGCTGCATATAAACAGGTCATCGTCGGCTCTGGACTGAGAGGGGACCCAGGGTCTGATTTTCAGAATGTCACATTCAGAAATCTGTTATTTGAGCTGCTTCTCCTGGACTGGAAATCAAGGCTGCTGCTCTGTGTTAGATGCCTGAGAGCCTCCAGGCAAAGGTAGGATGTTTCATTTTTATTGCTATAACCTCCGAAATCAAATTTCTGATAGTCTGTGGTTTTAGAGGACAAGGCTTCCTGGTCAGTAAGACAGCTGCAGTCACTTGCGGGGACTGAGGACATTCCGTGGCTGTTGTATCCCTGGGAGAAGTGTTAACTCTGTCCTTTCGCGTCAGCTGGAGACAGATGTGTCCATTCTCGGTCTACTTTTCACGTAGGATTTAATTCTTAAGTTATGCAATGGAGCCTAAGAAAAGCTTTTAACAAAAGAACTAGTGTTACTTTTATCCTGACTGTGAAAATTTGTGGGGTTCCGCCTTCACCTTGTCTGCAAAGCAGCTCAGATACCAACACTGTGACAGCTTTGTTTGTGACCTTGATTTTCTACTGTAATTTTATTGCTTCAGGATATGGGGCTTTATGGTACTCAAATTCCTTATGGCAAGAGAAGGATATAAATAAGATGAAGTCTTTAATTGAAGTTTTATCATAGGCTCATTCATAGTTTTTAAATATAACTTTTAAACATCTGTCACAAATACCTGTTACTGGATGAGATAAACTTGATCATGGCTGATGAACTATAAAACTTATTGAATGTACAGTTGATAAGAAAGACTTGTACAAGGTCTTTCAATCATGAAGTTTTATGGCCTATGAACTCTGAGCCCACATGGCAAGATTCACATGTCCAATTCCAGGGACATTTCTCAAGGAGAAGGTTCATGGGTTACTTGAGTTCTCAACAGGATCTATAACCCAGAAGGGGGCTGGGGCTCACTGGTCTGCTCCATCGCTGGAGACTCTTACATGTCGTACACCTTGACTCAGTGATTCTAGAATACAGTCACTTAGGCCACGTACTCAACTTACATTGAATAATTTGTTATATTTATTTATTTATTTTTAATTTGTTACATTTAAATATGTGCTTTTGTTTAAGCTGCAAAACTTGCCCTTATTTCAAAACTTTTTTTCTCAACAGATAAAATATTTTGATAAAAGAAGAGACTACTTAAAGTTCAAAGAAAAATTTGAAGCAGGACAGTTCCAGCCTTCGAAAACGACGGCACAGTCCTAGGCTGCTCCTGAACTTTCCATAAGGTTTGACGTTATTCTGTCTGAACTTGCAAAATGCTCCCCTATAGGACAGTAATGGTTTGGATCATGTAAACAGCATGACTCGTTCAACGTAAACAATTCTTTAAAACGATCAAATAACAGAGATCCCATCATTCAGACTATGAAGAATCGAAATGCTTCGTTTTAATTTCATAAGAAAGCGATATTTTAGGAAAAATTAAAGCCTATTAAAAAACCTATGGTTTTTTTGTTCTGTTTTGTTTTGGTCGGAGCAGCAGGCGACGATCTAAATATAGGCGGACCTTGGAGGCATTGTAGGTTCGGCTCCAGACCGCAGCGACACAGCAAACAGCACAATTAAGCGAGTCTGATTTCTCCTCCTATGTAAAAGTTACGTGTGCTATACTGAAGTCTGAAGTGTGCAATAGCATTATGTCTAAAAATGACGTACATACCTTAAAACAAATGCTCCCCCTCATCTGTGCTTTCAGCAAGCCGGACTTGTGCTGGTGGAGGGTCTTGCCTTGATGTCGGGGGCTGCTCAGGCTGGGTGCCTGTGGCCTTTCCTTAAAGTAATGACATTTGCCACGGGTTGACTCTTCCTTTCCCAAGCGATTTCTCCTAATACCTTATGCTCTTTGACAGCATTTTGTCCACAGAACTTGTTTCAGAACTGGAATCCGTCTTCTCAAACCTGCTGCTGCTTTACCAACCAGGCTTATGTCGTATTCTAAATCCTTTGCTGCCATTTCGGCGGTCTTCGCGACATCCTCACCGGGATTAGATTCCATCTCAAGAAACCGCTTTCTTTGCTCCTCCGTGAGGAACAACAACTCGTCCCTTCAGCTTCGTCACGAGAGCGCAGCAACCCAGTCCCATCTTCAGGCTCTACTTCTAGTTCCGGTTCCGGTTCTCTTGCTGTTCCGCCACATCCACAGGGACCACCTCCGCTGAAGTCCCGAACTCCTCAAAGTCAGGCAGGGAGGCTGAATCCCCTGCTTGCAAAGTCCCGTTCGTGTTGATTATTTCCACTTCCCGTAAATCAGGCATGTTCTTCATGGCATCTACAGTGGCGAATCCTTTCCGGGCTTGCTTTGCCCAGACCCATTGGAGGCGTCACTGTCTCTGACAACTCTGGTTTTACAAGATGTATTTCTTCAGGTCGAAATGTGTCCCTGATCCACAGGCTGCAGATTGATGTTGTGGCGGTAGGAATGAAAACAGCAATCTGGCTGTCCATCTCCAGAGCTTGTGGCTAACCAGGTACATCGCCAACAAACAGCAGTATTTTGAAAGGAAAAAAAAATTTTTTTGAGGAGTAGGGCTCAATTGTGGGCTTAAAATATTCTGTAAACCATGTTGTAAGATGTGCCATCACCCAGGCTTCGTTGTTCCATTTCTACAGCAGAGGCTCTGATTTGAAGTCACCAGCTGCGTTGGCCCCTCAACAGACAGGCAGCCTGTCCTTTGAGGCCGCACAGTGACTTCTGTCTTTGGCTGTAAAAGTCTTAGATGGCCTCTTCTTCCAAGATAAGGCTGTTTCCTTCCTTTGCTACTTGAAAATCTGTTGAGTATAGCCGCCCTCATTGATTAGCTTAGTAGATCTGGATAATTAGCTGCTTCACCTTCCACTTTGAGGTTAAGGAGAGGACTTCTTTCCTTAAGCCTCATGAACCAACCTCTGCTAGGTTCAGACTTCTCCGCTGTAGCTTACCTCTTTCAGCCTTCATGAAATTGAAGAATTAGGGCCTTGCTCTGGATTAGGCTTTGGCTTCAGGGAATGTTGTAGCTGGTTTGATTTATCCAGACCACTAAAATTTTCTCCCTATTGGTAATAAGGCTGTTTCACTTTCTTATCATGCACGTGTTCAGAGGACTGGCATTTTTTTTTTTTTTAAGTTTTTATTAGAAAAAGAGCACAAGTGGAGGGAGGGAGAGGGCAAAGCATCTTCCTCCTCAGTGGGGAGCCCAACATGGGGCCAATCCCAGGACCCTGGGATCATGACCTGAGCCGTAGGCAGATACCGGACTGACTGAGCCACCCAGGTGCCCCATGGGAGTAGCATTTTAAATTTCCTTCAAGAATTTTTCTTTGCATTCAGAATTTGGCTGTGTGGCAAAAGAGACCTAGCTTCTGGCCTGTCTTGGCTTTTGATGTGTCTGCCTCACTAAGCCCAATCATTTCTCATTTAAAGTGAGATGTAGGGGCACCTGGGTGGCTCAGTGGGTTGAGTCTCTGCCTTCAGCTCAGGTCATGATCTCAGGGTCCTGGGATCGAGTCCCGCATCGGGCTCTCTGCTCAGCAGGGAGCCTGCTTCCCTCTCTGCCTGCCTCTCTACTTGTGATCTCTCTCTGTCAAATAAATAAATAAAATCTTTAAAAAAAAAAAAAAGGACCAGGAATGAGTAATAGTCTCTGCTTTTAAGTAACTTACAGTCATAAGAGCTGGAAGACATGATTGCTAAATCCTGTTAGATCCATTAAAGTGAGATGTAGGACTCTTCCTTTCACTTGGAGGCCATTGTACGGTTATTACTTGGCCTAATTTTATTATTTTGTCTCAGGGAATGGGGAGGTCGGAGGAGTGGGAGAGAGAGAAGGAACAGTACTGGTTAGTGGAACAGTCTAGAAGACACACAGCATTTATCAGGCAGGTTTGCCGTCTATGTGGGCACAGTTCATGGTGCCCCAAAATGATCACAATAGTAACATCAAAGATCACAGATCACCATGAACCTACAAAGTAATGTAGATGTTTGAAATATTGTTGAAAACTACTAAACTGTGAGACAGACACATGGTGAGCCAGTAATCCCAAAAAACTGACAAACTCCTAGAACTAACCGAATCTTAGATGGCAAGAAACAAGGTCAGTATACAAAAGAAAATCCTATTCCTGTATTCTAGCAAGGAATAATTAGAACTTAAAATAAGAAATGCACTAAATTTATAGTAGCACTAAAAAAATGAATATTTGGTGTAAGTCCATGTATAGGACCTATATCTAACAACTACAAAGCCATAAAATACTTAAAAGTCAGAGAGGATCTAATTAGATATACTGTATTCAGGGATTCAAGAAATCACTTTTTTTTAAAGATTTTATTTATTTATATGAGAGAGCACAAGCATGGGGAGAGGCAGAGGGAGAAGCAGGCTCCTCGCTCAGTGGGGAGCCTAATGCAGGCTGTGATCCCTGGACCCCAAGATTATCACCTGAGCCACGCGGATACCCCTTAATATTCTTAATAAACCGTTAAGTTCTCCCAGTTTGTTCAACACAACCCCCAAATCCCAACAAGCTTTTTTGTCTAGATACTATTGTCAGGCTGATTCTAAAATTTGCATGGAAAGGCAAAGGACCTATAATTGCCAAAACATTTTTTTTTTTTTAAAGAACAGACTTATACGATTTGTAGTACATGATTTCAAGGCTTATTCTAAAGGAACAGTAATCAAAACTGTAGTATTGGCAAAAGGACTGATACCTAGTTCAGGGGAACAGAAAACAGAGTCCAGAAATACACCCACTTGAATAGTCCACCGAGTTTGAACAAAGTTGCAAAGGCAACTTAGTGGAGAAGGAATCCTCTTTTCAACAATGGTGCACGGTGCTGGGAAGTGCCCGTGCATACCTAACAGAATGAAGCCTAACACACCGCGTACCTTATTAAAGACAAACTCAAAATGGATCATAGAACAAAATAAAATATAAAACTGCAAAAATACAGAGGAGTTCTATATTTTAGGTTGGAAAATATTAACTTTTAGATCATGACATCAAAAGTGTAATCCATTCAAAGGAAAAGTTTTGTAAAAGCTGAACTTCATAGAAACTAAAAATATTTTCTCTGTGAAAGATACTAAGAAAATGAAAAGATAAATTACAGACTGGGAGAAAATATTCACAAATTACTTATAAAGAACTTGTATCCAGAATAAAGAATTCTTACAACTCTAAAAAAGTAAATCACCGGGGCGCCTGGGTGGCTCAGTGGGTTAAAGCCTCTGCCTTCGGCTCAGGTCATGATCTCAGGGTCCTGGGATTGAGCTCTGCGTCGAGCTCTCTCCTCAGCGTCGAGCTCTCTCCTCAGCAGGGAGCCTGCTTCCCTCCCTCTCTCTGCCTGCCTCTCTGCCTACTTGTGATCTCTCTCTGTCAAATAAATAAAATCTAAAAAAAAAAAAAAAAAAAGTAAATCACCCCAGCTTTAAGAAAATGGATAAATTGGGGCGCCTGGGTGGCTCAGTGGGTTAAGCCTCTGCTTCAGCTCAGGTCAGGTCATGATCCAGGGTCCTGGGATCAGGCCCCGCATCGGGCTCCCTGCTCAGTGGGGAGCCTGCTTCTCCCCCTCCCTCTGCCCCCTCGCCTGCTCATGCTCACGTGTGCATGCGCTCTCTCTCAAATAAAATCTTCAAAACCAAAATAGGCCAGCTTAATTTAAAAAGCTGGCAGTACCAAGTGCTGATGGGGCTACACAGCAGCAGAAACACATACTCACTGCTGGTGAGAATGCAGAACAAGAGGACTTGTTTTGGGACACGAACCAACCATCCACACTGACTTCTTACAAAGTTAAGCTTATGCTTCCCTTATGACCCAGCAGTCGCACTCCTGGGCATTCCAGCAAATGAGCGGCAGACAAAACCCATGCTGATAGCAGCTTCACTTAAAATTGCCAAAGACTAGAAACAACCCAGATTCCTACAACAGAGGAGGGAAAAGCAGGTCCATCTCTGCGATGGCATACTACTGAGCGCTGAGAAGGGAATAACCTCGTGAGTCCTGCGGCAGCACGGAGGAACCTTCTGTGCGCTTTTCTGTGTGTAAGAAGCCAGACCCAAAAGGTGATGTATTCTGTGCTTCCATTTACAGGATTCTGGGAAAGGCAAAATTAGTACAGGAAACAGGTCAGTGGTTGGGAATGGGGAAAGGCGTCAACCACGAAGGGGTCACACCGAGGGACTTTTAGGTGTTGAGATGGTCTGCTGTGGCACTGTGGTGGTGATTCATGAGTAAGCACTCCCCAAAACCCCAAGAACTGGACACGTGAGTGACTGGGGCTGTATGCACATTAAAGTCAGGTCAACGAGGATTTCGG